TTTCCCCCCCCCCCCCCCCCCAACACACCCAAAAGTAAATGGTTTACTAGATTGAGGACCAAAAATTTAAAGTGGCCCAACTGTGTGTGTATGGAGGGGGGGCGGTATATTCAAAACTGTGTCCTGAAAATAGGAAGTGAGAATGAGTCATCAGGTCTGACAAACCCAAAATAAACCAATAAACTATTGCTGGAGAGTCAGATGTGTGTGCTCCCACATGCGTGTCAGTGTCAGTGTCAGTGTCAGTCGGTCATGCATGTGTGAGGGGTTTGTGTTGCTTGTTGGAAGAGAAATTAATCCTACCTTATGAGCAATAATCAGTTCCAGGTGAGTATGTCTTAGTGGTTTTAAATCTCCGGACTCGGATTTAAATCAGTGTGTTTTGCTTAAAATTCTCATGTTGTGCTAACTCTCATGCTGCCATGATCTGTGCTTTGTTGGAATCATTTTCCTCTACCCAGCAGGTGGCTGTATGTAGGTGCTACTATACCTGTACATTCTGGGAAGTAGTTTTGCATTCTTCTGGACAAGGTTGCTATAAAATGTCATTGTATAGGACACCGTAGAAAACTGCTGCAGAGAGTAGCAGTTTACACTATTAGCAGGAGTGCGGCAAGTTAAATCCCACCCATTCCCTGAGTGCTGCTGGAATCTGTCCCCACTGCACTTATACCTGAGAGATTTCAGGCTTTGGGGTGTTGGATTGGAGTTGATGAGGGACTGAGGTGCAACTCAGACCTGAGCAGGGGCAGGACAGGTATCATTGCCAAGAGCCGGATTGACCCTTTCGTGGTCCTGAAACTGCTGGAGTTCAAATGCTCAATGGATGTATAAAACTGCAGCACTTGTGGGGCCAGGGAAGGTTTAATTTGGTTCTTGGCAGAGATATCTGACATCTCACAGCAGTGGTCCTGCCCTTACTACAGGGCCAGAGTCTTCACCCTCCCCGTGCCTCTATTTTGGCTCCTCTTTTTGCTGGGTGCCTGAGGCTTGCCTGCCACAAACAGCAGTTGCCCATGCCACTTGTGGCCTGCATGCTTCAGGTTGACCACACATGCTTTACAGCAACAGAAGGCTGAACTTCTTTTTAGTTATGTAACAAGGAGTGGGTGACTGGAGCACCAGCTCCAAGTGCCCACTTTCAAGGGGTTCAAGAATGGCAGCTGCTGCCAGCTCATCTGCTGCCACTGCCACCCCAGCCCCTGCTGCTGTTTCTGCCACCTAGGGCAAGGACCCTGGTAATTACACCCCTGCTTCTGCCTTATAACAATGCACATAGCCTTTATATTGAAGCAGCAATCTCATTTCTTGTCTCTGTGTTTTCCAGGCTGGCTATTCTCATACCATTTTCTGGAAGGCAAACCAGTGGCTCATGATCCATCTGTTTCACTGCCGTATGATGCTTACTTATCACATGTGGTGGGTGTGTATTTCCAATTGGAATGATGTGGTGGAAAACCTTGGACTTCTGTATTTTATCATTTTATTCCTGGGATTAGCTTCTGTGTCAATAATTCTTAACCCATACTGGACGTACAAAAAGACTATGCAGGTTGTCAATCCAACTGACTGGAACTTTTCACACGCAGAAGTGAAAAATGGACAGTCTGGAAAGCTGAATGGTGAAACAATCCAAAAGAAGAGAATATAATACTGAAACAGCTGGCTGTAAACATAGAAGCAATATAAGACCAGAAGAATATAACGCACATTTTTAATGAGTCCAAAGAAACACAATTACTTGCAAGAAATCAGAGTACATATTGATTCATCCTTAACTTGCCATCAGAATTCTATACTCTTGTTTCAAAAGTTTTAAAAAGTATAGCTTTTTAAAAAATAACACACGTACACACAGACACGGTGCAGGAAAAATCTTAGACTACTTTAACAGGATTTATGCTGACATTTTTTTTTCAAATTGAATGGTGTTGCTTCATTCTGTAATGAAAGGAAGTAAAAATTATATCTGTTATTCTAGCACTTCTTATCCTAGAATTCCCCAGGTATTTTCTAAATACCTAATTAGGCATTCGGTGTGGCTTAATTAAGCCACACCACATCTCTTTAAGGAAGATTAGAATTAAGACTATTTCAGAATCATGGAAGAAGCTGATATTGAAAACTGACTCTTATTTCTGACATTGAAACTACGTCTGGAATACAGAATACCTGTTGCACTCTAACCAGTAGGCCATTCCATACTGATGTGATGGATAGTCCATTACCTTGAAGTCTTTAAATAGAGACTGGATGCCTTTCTAAAAGGTTTGCTATAAAAGCTTAAATAAGTTATGGGTTTGATGCAGAAATTAGTCAGAGATTTTTGTCCTGTGTTATTCAGGAGGTCTCCTCTGGCCTTAATCTGTGGAGTTGTCTACACCACAGTAGTAGCCTGTCCTGACTGGGCTCTTCCTTAGCTTATCCTACCCGTTTGCAACCATGAGCACTTTACCAGCCTGGAAGTACAACAGTGGGACCACCTTAGGCTTGTCCATTATACATGAGAATGGACTCTCAAGAGCAGCCTGAAGCGTCTTCACTAGTGTACGTCTTGGTTAGGACTGCCTGTAGAAATGGATGGATGTAGCATGCTTGGGATAGCCTAGCCTAGCCAAGCCAAACCATGATACCATCATATTGTAATGGTATTCAGTCTTTTGGCCCTACAGGCCAGATGAGTGACACAGGGCCAATCCATTAGCTATAACTAGGTCCCACACCATGCTGGAATCGGGCCTCACGCTGCACTATATACCTGATCTAGCATGCAGGGCCATGCTGCCCAACCCACAGAGCTCCCCAGTCATACGGAGTCTGGCAGCAAGAGAGTGACAACCCAAGAACTGGAGGACACTGCTCTGAGGGCTGAGCACCCATGTCGTAGATCTGTTGCACTTGTAGACATGTTCTTTGAAAACTGAAACATTGCAAGTGTTGATTAAAAAAAATGTAAGTCTTAGATAAGCTTATTATTGGGGCACTTATTACATGTATAACATTCCACAGCACAATATTACCTTGCAGTTGGCAGTGATTGAGTGGGTTCTTTGTGCTAATATACTTGGAGATAAATGTTACTGTTTGGGGTGGGGGGAGGAAAACAACTTTTACCATGCTTTTTGTCTGCTGATAAATACAGAGGGAGTGGAGAAAAACTTGAATACTCAGAATGGTGCTGGAACCCATTAGGGGAACACCTGGAAGATTTCTGTGTTGTTTTGGAGATGTCACCTTTTACATCTAGATCACAAGTTCAAATACAGTCTTAGTTAATGGTGCCAGAGTAGTTATTTTTTTCTGAAGTCTGTTCAGTGAAATCAGTTTAATGATCTTGCTTTAGTTCCCAGTGAACCAGGATCCCAATCGCAACCTTGTGGACATTCACATCAGAAGTATAAACAGTAACTGAGATTCTGTCTCCAACAGTGGTATCTCCAGGTTGGTATTGGGTCACATTGATTGGGCGGCATGGCACTCTTGACTCCTGTCAAATACATAGAGAAATTAAATCTTACAGCTATCAATCATGTATGTTTCAGCATCACAAAAGGTCATTATAAAAATGTTCCTCATGAACCAAAATATGTGGTCCAAATACAAATCTTGGATGCCAAACCTCACAACCAGAGGAGTTTGGGATGGGAACTTGGAAGTAGGTAGCTGAGGGATGGTGGGGTTCATGGAGAGATCTTAAAAAAAACTCATAATTTCTTGAGATCAGAAGACTGGAGAAGTTGCAGAAGCCTCAGCGCAGGAAAGAAATAGTATCAGGAGTGGGCAGAACAGAAATTTAGATGTGTATATGATTTTTTTTTTGGCAAAATTTGCATAGGCTTAACTTGTATTGGGGGAGGGACTGGGATTAGGAGAATTCTGGGGGTGCAAAAAGATATTGTGGATTCTGAATGGGGTTAGGGAGCTGGAGAACCATCTCCTTGGAGTCACGTTACATAGTTTGAAGAGAAAATATTTATAGGACAAAGTAGGGCTGTTGTTTACTTTAGTTGGAGTATTGCCTAATTTCAGGCATCCCACTTTGTGAGGAATGTGAAGAAACTGGAGAGGGTTTAGAAGAGAGCAGCTAGGATGCTAAAAGGGCTGGAATGTAATGCATATGATGAAACGTTGCAAGAAGTAAGTCTGTCTAGTTTGCAGGGGAAAGAGATTAATGGTGTACATGGAAGCAATTTCTAAATATTTTAAAGATGGTCATAAAGAAGATGGGGGTGGGGGGAATTGGCTTGCCTTGCTGCAGAGGGAAGGACAGAAGGCAGTGGGTTTAAACAGCAGTAAAGCAGGCCTAGATAAAGTCTCAGAACAAACTTTCTAACTGTATGAACAGTGGAACAAGCTGCCTAGGGAAGTTGTGGAGTCTCCTTTACTGAAGATTTTCAAGGAGGTGGAATTGGTTAACCAGTAGTGTATCCTGCATCTGTGCAGGAGGCTGGACTTGAATGCTCTTGAGAGCCCTTCCAACATTATAAATCTGAAATTTTGTCTGTCAAATGTCTTGTGTATAGGAGCAATTTCCATGCACTCTTTTTTTTTCCTTTTTGAAACCCATCCATTTAAAGCAGTGGTGGGCAAAATGCAGCCTGTGGGCCAGATGCGACCCACCAAGACATTCTATCCAGCCTGTGGGGCCCCTAAAAAACTTAAATTAATATTAATCTGCCCTGGCTGCTTTTGTCATATGGCCCTTGATGGCTTGCCAGAACTCTGTAAGCGGCCCTCCACCCAAAATAATTGCCCGCCTCTGATTTAAAGCATCTTTTAAGGGCAAGGTAGGAAAGAGAAAATTTTAATGTATAAGTTGTTCTAAGAAAGGAGTTGTTGTAAGTTGTTCAGGGCAGGGATCTTATTCTTGTTTTTTATATTTTTAAAGATGCCTGCATGTGTGCAAGAGCCCTTCCAACATTAAAAATCTGAAAAATGATCTCTCTAAAATGTCTTGTGTATAGGAGGAATTTTCATGCATTTTTTTTTAATTATCCATTCTAAATATCTTTTAAGGGCTAGGCACAACAGAAAATCGTACTGCGTAGACTGTTCAAAGTAGGGAGTCTTTTTAAGCTATTCAGGGCAGGGACCTTGTTCCTGTTTTCTATATTTTTAAAGCCCTCTGTATGATTTAGATCAGTAGTCTTATACATAAAATACCAAACAGTATCTAGTCGAGTGGGAGAACTGGATGGTCAAGCTGACTAAAGATTTATATTGAATTTTTATTTGAAGTCATAGGCAAGAAGAATGGTCCATCTCTGGTGCGACTGTAGTTTGAGGAAGGACATCAGCAGTGAAGTGTTTGTTTGTTTTTCCCCCCTCTGACATTATGAACTTTGAGCACCCAGATACTACCTGCATACATAGTATAAGAGGTTGACATCAAGCTCTTTTCTTGTTGCATATTCCGGGTGTTTTTATTAAATAAAAAAGGCTAAAGAGTGTTTGCCTACTATGAACACTATATGTGTTGTTACAAGTAACCATAAGAGCACAAAAATCACTTGTATTGGTTATATATTTCTTTTTTTTCCTCTTTGATCTATTTCCTGGGTTTTTATGCAGGGGCACACAGTTATGTTTCCTTCCTCTAAATCTAGGCTGGCTGCTGCTCCTCACACTGAGGGATGAGTTTAATTATGTCTAAATTCTACAAAGACTTACTGTTGTCCTAGGCCTAGCCCAGACATAGTTTGTTTTTAAGTTTTGCTAACATAAGATTTGGCTTTCTGCTTTAATGAGGCCTCACTCCATTCCCATGTGGGGAAAGCTTCAGCACGGGCTGGTGAGGCCCACAGTATGTTGCTGCCATCGCATGGAAAACTTTTGCATGACCTCAAATGTTCACAAATTAGCTTGCTGCTTTCTGTGGTTTAGTGTTGCAGATTTCTTCTCTCCCACCATTACAAATAGGCTTAACTGTTGTCATACTTCTCATGTCTGCCTTCCTGCAGATGTTTTGTATCCTTTTTCAAGCAGACCCAAGTATCCAGTTAGATATATCTGCAGCATTCCTACTTCCTGTTATTTGTCTTGGCTTCCAGTTGTGTGTCTAGGTTTCTTCTTGCTCCTTTTCTTGCACCCCACAAAACGCACCACATTTCTTTCAGTGTTTATTCTTGGCTACAAAATCTTCCATGATCAGACACCAAACACATTGCTATATAGCTTTCCTTGTTCAGTAGCTTCAAGTCAAAACTCTGAAGCTTTTCTCAAGATGGCTGTTTTGTCTTGTCTTTTTAATTGTATATTACTTCAGGATTTATATACTGTGCCTCTCAAATATCTTGGCTTCAGAAAAATGCCTACCTGAAATAAACTAAGAAGTATTAAGTACTTTTTTTGACCAATGAGTTGTATGATTAACTGAATATAACTTTTTTGGATATGTCAATTTTAGATTGTTTGTTTGCATAAATAAAAGTATTTATGGAATAATGTTGTGCATGACTCTTTCATTTGGCTCTTGCTGAGGAAATGTTTGCTTTTGCTCTTTCTTTGGTCATATGGAGTAATAAAAAGTTTCTGCAATGTGTGTACTAAGTGTATCCTTTTATATACTGAGTAAGTTTTAAGAATAACTTGATGTCAGCAACTAGAAAGGACTGAACTATGTCCTTCAATGAGCACTGCATATGAACTGTACAACCACTTTTGGTATATTGATGCAGCTGTACCGTGTTCATCTTCTGTACCTGGTGCTGGCAAATAAACCTAGGATTCCGGACTAGCCCAGGGATTGATACGACACCTGGTTCGATGAGTGACAGTAAGGCTTTATTTATTGCAAGTGTTCAAAATCAAGTCGAGTGAGCCCAAACCCAATCAAAGTCCAGTAATTTAGTTACAAGGTGATGATGTCTTACCAAACAGGTGACGAAGAGGCGGTCTGTTTCTCTGCAACTTCTTGAGTAAGTAAGGTGCATCGGCCACTGCTGTTAGAGAGATTTCTCACTCTTGAAGCGCACACTGTTTGCTGCTTTACTGCCTTTTTATACCCTTAGCTAAGCATCTTCATATTATGCTCCAACTGGGCTCTGCCAGCTTTGCCCAGCAACAGATGCCGCCAGCACTCTCCATTCAATCCGGAAAACCCCTAATTGAATTGCTGCACGGCCCTTGGCCAAGTGCTGAGGAAACCCCGTCCCCTGTGGAAAATCCCCGTGAACATTTTGGCGTAAAAATGTGGCCAATTGGGGCTTGAAATTGTGTTTGTCATCTGGCCTATAAAAGCTAGGGTTGAGCTTCTGCCCAGGGAGAAACCAGAGCGTTTACTGCTTGGTGGGCAGGCCTGGCCAGCTTCCCATGGTTACTCCTGCCTTCGGACTCTCTGGCACCCGATTTGTGCACCTGAACATCAACTGCTCATTCATCGTCCTCTTTGGTTTCGAGTCCAGTGCTCCGTCTGTCTGTTGTTCATCCCTCACCTGAACCGTTGACAAGCGTAACCACCTACGCAGCCACATCCCAACGACTGGTGGGGCGTAAGTAAGAAACCAAATAAAAATTTTCCTTGGAACCATTACGAGTC